GCAGGTGACTTGGCCGCCGTGTCCTGCCTGAAAGGTGGAAAATCTGGATCCAATCATCTAGAAGCATTTCTAAATTCCAGTGCTTACAGAGATGTGGTTAGCGGTCTGCGGGGATCAGGACATCTTCCCAAGAGGTTTGCATCACGGCTTCTAAGGAACCAAGAAAGAAACAGCAGACCAGTTGACTGAGTATTTTCCTCTGGAAGGAATCCTTCATACACAGTGATCATGTGGTATTTACTTGGAAAATAGAAAGCCTGAGAAGATGATGTAATTAGGCTGTAAATATGGCCCCTCAAAAGAAGTTTTTCCATTAAGAACTTGTAAATGTTCTTCACTCAGGAGTGTTTAAGAGGCAGTAGGCCAGGGTGTGCTGGCCGCTTTTGCTGACCTTTTGTTGCTGCTCCGTGGAATTGTACATTGCATTAATCCTATCAATCATCAGCTTTATTTTTTTTTAATATATATATAATTGTAACTGTGTAAAATAAACTGCATAACCCATTGCTAGTGCAAGTGATATTCCCACGCTAAGTCTGGAGCAAGAAGGGCAGCAGTGCTCCTGGCATTCTAGTTTCCCTGTTATTAAAACTATAAACTGAAAGTGAGCTCCCATGAACTGGAAATGAAAGCCCTGAACATATCTCCCAGGTATTCTGAAGTGGCAATAGTAAAGCCATTATGTTTCATTTTGCATAGTTAAGTATGTGGTAGGCTAATGCAAGGGGAGAGGTATCACTCCACTCACCCAGATCAACTAGTTCGCAGTTCCCCTGTGCCTCCCCCCACTGTACCTGGACTGTTTCCCTCTTCCATCTGGATTTATAAATCTAGGCCTAAACACTTACCAGGTAGGCAGACTACAGCTGGGCTTGGACTAAGAATACATTTACACCTGGGACCACATCAAACATGCAGATGCTTTAATTCTTGTAATGAAGGACAAGGACTGGGAATGGCCTTCTGGGGGAAGGTACAGTCATTGTTCTAGTTCATGTATTGCAAGAAAAGTCACTTCCACAATAACACCGTAATTTGCTCTAGTAGAGCTGTTCAAATCCTTTAGGAAAAAAGGGACTTGGTTATCACAAGTGTAACTGAGAGCAGGATGTAAGAGGCACTTCATTAAACACAAAGTGGCAACAACAGCTACAGGCTCTGCAGGAGAGACCCATGCTGCACCATAGCTCCGTGTGTTTTCAGAGAAATGTCACTGTGTGATGAGAAAGCCCTTGGCTGTACCTGCCCCTTTACAGACCTCCTTCTTAAGAAGGGGGTTCCAACTGAAGGGTTTCAGGTAGGGAGAAGCAGCACATCACCACCTCTTGAACAGCAGTAGAAGTTCAGGATCGTCATCTAGAAAGCCAGCTGCTCAGCCCTTCCACAACACCTCAGGGAACAGAGCTTAACATAAATGCTCTAGCTTTACTGTTGAAAAACCCCAAACTGTGGGCAAGTAGCAAAAGGTATCTGACCAACACCAGAGAAATCTTGACATGGACAAGTTTCCATTAAAAGGGGAATGATCAACCCTCATTTTATTTTTAGAATCCTTGCAATGGTATTAAAATGACACGAGTTTTGCATGGTGAGGTTCACTAACAGATGTCAGTAGCAAGTTTCATTACTTACAAACCTAGGTATCTTAAGTCTCTAATGAGATGGTGTGATGAGTTGAGTGGAACAGATTTCTCTGTACTGCTTCCAGCTGTTCAGCAACACTGTCTTTTGGATGGAGAAAAACCTGCTAGAGCTTGATTGCTTTGAATATGCAGCTTGGTGTAATTATCCAACCAGACTGCATACATGTGTAACCCATCATATCCTAAGTGGTTCTTTAGTAGTAAGTTAATTGTGTGTACTACATACCATAATAATGAGAACTGTTAAATTACATGTATGAAAATCTTTATTTGAAAATACAAACATGATTTTTAAACATTTTAACAGATTACACTGCAACCAAAAAATAACTTACATCTTTTTGTACATTTTTTTCCCTCAACAAAATCAGTTTAACAATAAGTGAGGCAACAATTTCAAACTGCTGTGACACGGATGAATATCCATGGAATGTGTCAATAGCAAACAACTGAAGGGAGGGGGACAGACAAAAGCACTGAATGCCCACAACAAATTAGTGCACATCACTGATCAAGTAACATTTATACAAATAATTTTTAAAAAATTGGTTCCTTCTACATAAATTAACACACTCATTTTGGATCAAGTATGAACAATAAAACAGACTTCATTGTTAAATAACCTTTTTATAGTGAACATCAATGAAAAGACTGAAGTTTAAAGGGGCAAGCAAAATTAAAGTTGGGGCAAACAAGGACTACACAGAAGTGATTTATCTCAGGCATTCGCTTTCCGTGTGCACTAATATGCTCAGCTAGTCAAACAAAACTCTATTTGTAAATGAGAGCTTAATCACGCACTCATCGTCATGTCTCTTCTTTGCCAAGGCATAAACACCCTAGAACTGTCTATGAGCATGTAAGCATCGCAGGCCTGGTATAAATTGTCTCCTGACCTCCCACACCAGGACAGGAATACCTGTTCACATATGGGATGGAAATGGTCAGTGCACCACACATCAACTTGGAGATAATTACACAGTTCTCATAAAAACAGTAGATTACTTTTCTCTAACATCAAATATTGTTATTCTTCCAAAAAGGAATTATGCAACATCTGTAAATAAATATTTTAATCTATTTTACAAACTATAGACTATTGAATAAATACAAAAGTTTTCATCATTCCATACAAATGCACTTTTTATTTAAAAGGTAGTGTAGTGATTAAATATTCTTAGCGCAAAACTGAGCTGACTTCCTGGAAACAAAACCTACAGAAAGGTGTGTGTATATGTGTGTGTGTAGCAGACCTGCTGCAGACTGTCCCTTCTCTTCTGCAAGTGTTGACCATAAATAGCCATTACTCAAAGTCCTCTTCATAGTCATATTCATCCAAGTCTACATCAGCCAGATGGGACGGCATTTCAAAAAATGGTCTTTTTTCCATTTGATACCTTAGGACATTGGCCTTCTGATGGTCTACAGGATTCAGTTCTGCTTCATACCTAGCAGCAGGCAAAAAAAAAAAAAAAAAAAAAAAAGAAAAGGCGAGAGAGTCTCACTGCATTGGGAAGTGCCCAAATGTTAGAACACTAACAAGGCACCTGCAGGAAGAAGATAATTTCCAATATGTTATATTTACAATCAAGAAACATGTAACCAGAAACAGTACTAGGTCTCCATCATAATTACTTGAATTTAAGTTAGCTTACTCTCCCATCACTTGCAGAGCTCAGTAGTGAGATACATAGCTTTACTGGAGGGACTCAAAGCACATACTGCTCTAGTGGACAAGTCCTAAGCTAGAAATGGACAAATGCAAGCCTTAAGTGCTTGACAGACGCCCTTCCAGGTCTTTTCAAAGAAAGCTGCAATTATGCTGGATTAGGTAGAACAAACCACACCTGTAGTAGATACAAAAGAGGAAGAATACTGAAAGTGTTATTAAAATGCGCATGAGCACAAGGAAGCGATAGCAACCACCTGTGTATTTACAGCAGATGCTAGAAAGCAAAAGCCAATTGTTTAATGAGAAATTACTGATAACCACCTGCTGCTGCTGAAAATGAACAGATGGAAAATGAAATGTAATGTTTAACTAACTCAAGTCAGTGACAGCTGATATTTAAAAAAAGATCAGCTTCAGCACTGTTTAGGTGGGATCAATCTGAAATTGATAGCCATTTAAAAAAAAAAACATAAATCTCTGTAGAGATTTATGATGTCAGATTAACAAACTGATAATTTCCTGGGCTAGGCTGACTCAGGTTCGTGCACATCTTCCCAAGTGCTACTGAATCTCATCTCTGCACGCCATCATTTCCATCTGCTTAACAAGACTAGGCAAAGGATGAGCTTTAGACACTGCAGTATCTGGTCTTCACACGTGACTTCATAATGGCATTATGACGATTAAGAGAAGTATTCTTTCAGAGAAAGACATAGGGCAAAGAAAAGTTAAATACCAAGATTCCACTACTAACACTAAAATCAGAGCAGCATTAACAGCGGAGGTGGGAGGAAGAACATTTTCAATTGTGAATGCAATTCTGTTGAAACACGTCATAGATAAACTATTAAGCATCTGAAGCCAGCTTCACCACCATTTTAAGTAAAAAAAAAAAAGTAAGAAAATAAAGATGCTTTGATAACATCAGGTAAAGATTAAGCAGTGAGTAAAAAATAGTTCCTGCTCTTCTTTCCCTTTTGTTGTTTTGTTTGGGGTTTTTTTGTGGGTTTTTTTGTTGTTATTTCATCCTCCCCTAGGGTACTAAAGCCTCGACTACGTGAGCATCAATCAGTGCTTTGGCAGTGAACAGAATACTTTGGGTTTCTCCCATAAGTTCACTACTGACTTGACCTTTTCATCCCAGGAGTTACTTTCCTGAGTTAAACATTTGAAAACAAGGGTTTGGGAAGAAAGATGCATGTTCTACCATAACAACAGTTTTGGCTCACAAACCTGTAATTCATAATAATCTTCTACACTATTAATTCCATCCTTTTGAGAAAGGTTTTTTTCCCCCCCTTTTTTTTTTTAGAACAGAAACATCTTGAACACACCTTTGGGATTTGTTTATTGTACAGTGATACAGAGAGATGACAGCAGCTTTTCCAGTCATTAAAAATGGCAGCATGAAGATACCCCACATACTATTTGCAGGTTCCATCTATCCTATACTCAGAAGACTGTTATTCAAACATGATTGGACCAGATGAAGATCCTCCTCTCTTCCAAAGCTTTGGTAGCTTCAGGGACTTTCACTGCTTTACACGATATTTAAGTTTAAGGGCATTTAGAAACGCTGTCCCAGTTTTACACATCTGGGCACTGAAATTATGTGAGTTACTTCTCACAATATTAGAAAGTCTATTGCTATTCCCAGCATAGAGCTTTTTATGGAAACATAACCATACAGCTACAACACCTAAATAGTCCTTTTCCCCCCCTCCTTGCATTTCTAAAGCTCAGGTAAATGTAAAGAAATCAGCCTATTTCTAGACTTCTGTATACCACTCCCAAGTTTCAGATCAACTGTGTTAATGGAAGTGTCAGGAATATATTTACCATAGAAGTACCAAATTAAAAATTCATACTGGATTGTCAAACAGTCACTTCAGGCAGGCATTACAACCCTTTAAGTATAGTAAGTGATTTCAAGGAAGGTTTTTATACAACACTAACTTAAAATGCTTATAATAATTTTTTGTTAATGTTTTTGTTCATCAAACTTGCCTAACAGCAGCAAGGAAACTTTTAGTAGCCTTGTGTTTCTCTGAGCTTTGTTTTTCAGGACAATTGTAGGAAAAAAAGATTTGGACAGTCCTACTTCAGCATTAAGTTTTGAACACACTTTTGGTGGCCTTTGCTTTTAGAAAGCATTCAAATTTTAAGCCAGATTTGACAAAGCCTCCCTGAGACAGATCAGAACACTTCTCTTTAGATTTTCACCTGTTTGCTCACAACTTAGATTCAGTTGCTTATTTGATAAAGAATTTGGAAGGTATCCCAACTTTGCTCTTTATTAAAAAAAAAAAATCTCAATTCAATGGTTTAAATGCAAGTCTTCACATGCTTCTGATATAAGGGCAGGCAGAAATCAGTAAGATGAAGCGTAATACTTGTTTCTATTTGGTCAGTCCAAATACATCTTACATATGGTTGCATATATGATACTTGAAACACTTTGGCAAATTATGAAGTGGTAGTTGATGAAGACAACGAGCATTATAATCTATACTCCAAGGAAACACTAAGCACCAAAGCTTCAGGAACGCTTGGATAAAAGCTTTTATCCATCAGTGTGGAGGGCCAACAGTTAAAGCTGTGGCTTATGCATCAAACCTAACTAGGGATACAGAAAGTAATTACATAAATAAAATGCATGATTTTTTGGGCTGTGCTTCCATAGGATGCAATATTTTTCTTCAATTGTCAGGTTTTTTTCTATAAGATCTGTGACAAGTCTGCTAATGCAGAGGCAACCTACAACCACTTTGTTCACAAGCTCCAGGCTCAAAAGTAATGAGAAATTGGACATTTTAGCATTATACACCTCTCCTCCATAGCCCAGCATACTCTGCTATATTATTCTTAGAATAACACTCTGGTTTTCCTTAAGGAGTGTATTTACACAGTGAAGGTGCATTTTTTTCAAGTTTTAGGGTTATTAGGATTCTGCTTTACATACAGTAAGTTCCACAATACTCTCTGTATTACTTAAGTTGTAATTGCATGAGCATATAAAGAAGACTGTGCCTATGCTGTAGAGAGAACAAACTTCATAGAAGTACCTGAAAAAAAAAGCGTCCAAGACCTGTTAGAATTCTACTGGAGAGTGAAAATTTATCTTAAGTTTTTAAATATAATCTGAAGGTTTAACTTGAGACATGTTTTGTATTTCAGTTTCTATTTTGTCCACTTTCTATGTAAAGGCATGAATACACCGTGAATAATTTTTTTCATGGAAAACACCAGAACCGATCTGACCCCAAGAATACTGGCTGTGAATGTTGCAGCTTTTATCCTCACCAGGAGCAGATATCTTGGAGGGGGGTGGAAAATACATAAAAATAAAATAATTTAGGCTAAACAATAATCACAGAGATGCTCCTAGCTCAGAGAAATAGCTGCAGTCAGTGAGCTCATAACTGAATCAGAATAAAAGGACCTTGAGGCTTGCTCTTTATATCCCGTCTGCACTCGTGGGTGCAATGTGCCTAAACATTATCTTAGAACTTTACAAAATTACACTTGTCTGCCACAGCCAACAGCCCAGTAATTTCAAACCGTTAATCAGAGGTGCAGAGTAACCCAACCTCCTGCCATGCAGGTCCCTTACTGCTAATGTCAAAAGGATATTTTGCCTCTAATTAATTTTAGTTGCCAGTGACACTGCATGCAGTCTCAGGACAGCACACCAGAGGAACAGCTGAAATCCTTCCTTGAATATTTAGGTAAGGATTAGCTTTTACAGACCATATAGTATACTTCTGCACCCTCAGTATATCTTAACTGACAAAAGAACTAGTTTCCCAGTGTATTTCACAGCAAAGCCATAAGAGGCTTTAAGAGCTATAAGACAGAATAATAGGATCTTAATGGAATCCAGGAAACCTGCATTTACCTATCAACTCTCAGGTGACCTTGAGACAAATTTAGTCAAAAACCATCTGAATTTCACAACTTTGTGTCTGAAAATGGGCAAAGTGGTCTTACCACTCAAATTCTAGAAAGTCATAGCAGAATTTTTAAACAGGAAAATAGACACACAGCTACTGTGATAGAAGTAAATACACAGACAGCAGGAGAGAAAATAAGGGTAAAACAGCAAAGGTGTAAAACATTTGAGGAAGTGGTTCTAGTTAAGATTTAAGACGTTTGGATTCAGGAGCCCTGAAGTACTGTTAAATGCTATTCACTCCTGTCAAGCCTGGGCTCTCAGGCTGACCTGCTGATGCACTGATTTCCTGTGTCATATTATAAAGGGGCCCCTCTGACAGACACCAAGATGATGGCAGACACTGTAGGGGCTGGTCTGACCCTGTCACAAGCAGCCTAAGTCCACCAGTAACTTTTCAAAATTTTGGCTCCTGATGGTTTAAACATGTTAATTTTATAAGGACATTCGAAAACAGAGGGCCAAAAATCTGAGTCCTTCACCGGTTTATAAGAATCCCACTAGTTTTGTCAGCTGAGTTACAAATAAATAAAGCTTCACAGCCAGCAAGAGCATAGGAACTTTTCTTTCCCCTGATCCATCAAAGGTATTACACTTGGCAGTACAGTGTCTCAAAAAACTCTAAAAAATGTACATACCTATTCTGTACCTTCCTCAAACTTCGACCATGACCTTAAGAGATTAAGCAAGATAAAAAATATTGAAGGTTTAATCTTGCCTGACTCACAGCACAAAGCTTGTTATTTTTTGGCTTGTTAATTCTGTAATATTAATCAATTCTTGCAAAGGATTCCATGAAGAGTTAAGAGTATGAACCCCTTCGATGCTGAAAGGGCTGGGTGATAACAATTCTCTCTCTCCCCTCTTTCCTTCCTCATACACTTTCTGTTATGAAGTTTCTTGAAATCAATGTGTTAAGAGGATTTTGCTTTCTTGGGTTTTAAAGCAGTCTCAAATATTGAGCTAGTCATTCTCTAAAATCTTGGCAAGAATTACAGACATTTAAAAGTGAGATATTGATGTAGGAAATGCAGGAAAATGTGTTTTCTCTAGACAGGTCCATCAAACTCAAGGTCTAAAACAAGTTAAATTTGTACTTGTTTTCCTTATCTTTTTAAATAATGAAAACAACTGAACAGCAAATTCAAGACTTTGGATTCCAAGAGACTCTGGAAGCTACACAGCAAAAGTAAAGGAGTGATTTTGAAACAGCAAGATTTATTATGTTATTTACTGTTACAGAACTATGAGATAATACTTCTAAGCTGATATAACTGTGTTCAGAAGTGAGATTCCACCCCCCATCCCCAAAAGCTCCTAATGAAGCTTAACAACAAGCTACAAAAATTAATGTTGTATTTTGTTTAGAGTTGAAGCTTTTTAAAAACTTCTTTCTTCTGAAAATTTGAAGTAAGACCTTTTCTTTCACAAAGCAAATGTGATCACAAACTGTCAAGTAATATTTCATTCAAGATACAAGCAAGGTTCTTCCTCCCTCACCGAGCACACTGCTAAACACAACAGCAGCAATATTCTACAAAAATAGCATTAAGGATGATAGCGATGGTGAGGTTCTACATTAGTAGAGAGGATTCGTACTAACCCTCCTGCTACATTCTTACCCGTCATTCCACTGGTCACTGGCTGCCTCTTCTGCCACCAAGATATCATACTCTTCAGCAGCATACTTCTCCCAGTCAGAGACCTCTTGGCTCTCACCTTCACCATCCTAAACAATCACATTGCAAGTTAGATAAAAACATATTAATTAAGCACATAGCTAAAAAAAAAAAAAAACACAAAACACCACATTTAAAGCTTCATACTCACCCGCAACATAGAAAACTGATCCTTCTGTTCATGGTCGAGGTATTTTTCAATATTGAAAAAAGTATCAAAAAACACATTTGTCAACTTGCATTGCTTTAAATCATGCAGAGTAATTTTTCCTGTAAAGAAGTTTATGAGATATTTAGAGATGAAGTTACCCTTTCTCCAAAGAGGAGGAATGTTATTAAAAAGTTAAGTCATCATTATGCTCTAGAATATTTGTCACTGACACTTAATGCAATGGGAGAGAAGTGAATAGGTAAAATACACACCCAGAGAAGTGTCCTTCAAAGTGGACAAAACTTTTAAATGTTTCACATCTGTTACTTGCTTTAGCTATCATCCTACTGCCTTTCAATATCTTGGAGTGAGATGCAATCTACCTCACTTAGCTATTAAAAATCATTTAAGCTATTTGTCTAAGCTTCCTCAGGAGACAGAAGTCCTCAGTGAGCTAGCCATTCCTTCCCCAGAAGTGCCTGGGTAGCAGGTAGGAAGCTCCTCTGGCAGCGGCTCTTTCTCTTCCCTGACTTGAAAGAAAAATGTGTGACGGAGATGACAGTGTGCGAGTATGCTTCATACAAATGAATTTTTCATAGAGACTAGTTTGTCACACTTGTCTAGCCTGATCCATATTTACTGCTTGAGAGGAAAGCTAAATGCTCAGAGGTGGTTTGTTTGGTTTTTTTATAAAGTGATACATTAAAGACTCAAATCAATAGATCTGTTAAGTGTTAGAAGTCTTTGTCAGGTTGCTCAGAAATGTTACCTTATTTCAAAGCAGAGTATTAAGCTTCTACAGAATAACTGAAAAATACCAGACATACAGGAAAAGACAGATGGCTATCCTTAAAACTCCCCTTTATTGATTCACCTGAAATATGGCCAGTCTTCTGTTGTCAATCAAAGAGGGGCTAACTACAGATGTTACGGAACAGTTCAATGAAAGCCAGACTTAGAACAGCATTTCCTCATCATACTGTCCTGGCCTCTAACAAAGTACCAGTCAAGGACATCAGAAGGATGCAAAATAAGAACCCCATTTGGAAATGGTTGCCACACTTGTGTCTGTCGCCATCTGAAGTGCCCTAGTGTATTCTGCCTGGCTTATAGCTGATGCTCCAGAACACTACAGATCCCTCATAGCACCTGTGTCATATCTGTCAGACCCACACAGATGTCTGATGTATTGTTCCGTCTCAAGTGGCAGCAACTCTCCACAACCAAGCAACTGATTTGAGTCTTAGTTATGTAAGCTCCCAATTTAACTTAGACACCTATATTTGGTTCCTTGATTTGCTCTCCATTTTCCATTTATTGCAATGGAAGTTTAGACACCTAATACTCACGTAGATGACTACATTCTCTCTCAAAGACCAACAAAAAAAAAAGAAATTGAGATAACTAAATTCGGGTCTCCACAAATTAAAAAAAAAATTGCTTTTTGATACACAGAGCATCCAGTAAAAAACTGTATCACAGTTTAGCCATAAATGTATGAAAGTGCCTTTTGTTTCAAATCTATCAAGTGAAACATCATTTTATGCCGCTAGTTTTTGCATAGGAAAACAGAAGAATTTCTTTCTTAATCCACCTTTTAAACATCACCCAGTTCTTATTAAAAAAAAAAAAAAATCAACCCTTCACAATCAGCTTTCATTTTCATTACCCTAAATCATTCTTGTCTCGGTTGTGTTTCACAGCCTCCTTTTATCATCTTCATGATATAGAAGAGATACATCACTCTTGTTTCATTTGAAATGCAGAACAGAAACATTATTGAAGATGTCTGCCTTTCAGAAGCATAGTGTACAAGACTGCAAGGGAACCCCTAGGTTTGGGAGGCTATCGTAGGCAACTACTGTATAACAAATCCTTTCCTCGGAGCTTACTTCACCTCACCGTAAATGCTCCCCACTCCCCATGCATTATACAATGTTTGTCTACCACTTCATTCTGCTGGTATGCAGAATTGAGCTTCCAGATGAAACATATTTAACACTCCTCTTTCATTTACAGCTTTTTTCATACGCCTTTACAAATGTGTTTTCACCTAGCAAATCCATATTAACTTGGTTTAAATAAGAATATGAAGCTTTAAGTTCTAGTTTTGAGCTATTTCAATTCCCTTAGCATGCAAAAAGTAATGTCTCAATATAAGACAACTGCTTTTAAAAAAAAAATTAAGTTTCTTGTAATTTAAATATTCTTCATACTAGAAAGGTGGGCAATAAGCAAAACTATTTATTATTAATTGATTCTCTAACCATAATTTTATAGACAGCAAACAGAACCACCCTCTTATACATTCAACTACAGTGATACTTGAAATTCAAGTAGGAAGAACTCAGTGCTTTGTCTAGAAGTGTCTAAATGTGAAACACTAGCACAACATTGCATTTGCTAAACAAAGGCATTAAGTAAGATGGTCAACGATTTTCTTTACCATAAAAAGTAGCAAACATTACTATATGTGATAGAGGTTGCTACTCCTATCAAACACTTCAAGAACAAATAGGCAAGTTCTAAATTCATTGCAATGCACAGTCCGTACACTAATAGCAACCAGACTGTATTGCCAAGTCCTTTTACACACTGAAATTCACATTAAAATGTGTAGCCATTATAAGGGTTATTACTGCTAATTGTGGTCAAGTGTTGAGACATTAAGTTTAGATACAGGTTGACCTCAGTTGTGTGACCTTCAGCAAATCCCTGAAGACTAATCCATCATGGCTACAACAGTTTCGTCAACTTGTGAGACAAATATCAGAAACAGCACAGAGGCAGAGGCCATGAACATGCAAGATATCACTCTTCAACACCACAGTAATATGTTTACCAAGCATGCAAAAATATTTTTAGTATTGAGCAGCACAGAAGGGTAAATATGAAGTGAGCATCATGCTCACGTCGTAAGTTTTTTTCAGGTGTAAAATGTAAACTCAAGTTTCATCAGCTAAAGATCACGTATGTCAAATGCAGGAGGGTAGAATGCCAATCTATGAAGGTTCAAATGAATGCAGAAAATAGTCAAAAAATAAGAACAGTTTACTATTCAGTTATTTAAGCCCCTTGACATTGGCATGAACTTCCTAAGGGCAGCTTAAGCTTCTAACCTCAAGTCAGTCATTACTGATCTACAGAGACAAATACTGTTTAGAAACTGTTCCCTCTGAAAGAATCTCTATTAAATGAGTACTAGAACAGGTAAGAGGCAAGTGAACAGAACAGTCAAGATCTTTTCTTGAGAGCATCACCTCAGCCAGACAGTGACAAGATTTCATTTAAGACTAAACATGGCTACAAGCCCAAAATGAAAGCCTACAAGGAATTTTAAAGCATCATAGTAAATTTTGATATGAAAATGAATGCGGGCCTGCCATTGGAAGGCTATTCAATTAATAAGCTCTAACAGACTTCAGAGAAAAGACAAACTAAAGGCATATTCTTTGCATGATCAGCTGAGTGCTCTTAAGGGTGCACTAACTCCTAATCCAGAGAAACAGAGGTTACATATAGAAAAGGATTTTATTACCTTCATATTGTGGCTTCACGAGATCCAGCATCTGGCACAAACAATCTTCAAATGGCAAAGGTTCTATGGCCATGTTATCTAATTTTTGGCACTGTTCTTCATAAAAATACTCCAATTCATACATAGACAAAGCACCATCACCATCGAGATCCATGCAGCGAAACCAGTATTCAATGCTGAAATTCAGTAATTAATAGCAAAGAACTGTTTACACAAATAGTAGAGAATTTTAAGAATTTATGTTGCCTGTTTTAAAGGCTATGTTACTTACAGATGCAAAACTAGACTTAAGACTACATTTCATAATGCCACAGGAGGTCATTAAACACCACCTACTGTGGTCAAAGTTTCTGGTATTTGCTATGCCATACATTACTACATTTTAAAACACTCTTTGTTGTGGGTGGATGAGGGACAAGATGACTGAAACATGTGGCTTTACACAAAAACTCAAGGGAGCCAAGGAAAAATTGAATTGTGCATGAAAACACAAGTTCTTTTTTCATATCGAACAAGCCAGTTACAAGGCAGGTTTCTTATCAATATCCTACAGCTAATGCTAGCTGTATCATGGTGCCAGTGACTTTGGGAAATATCTGCAATTTCCTTTATCTATGACCCTGTCGGTAAGTAGGGCACACAGAGCATATGTAACAATACAATTTAATTAGCCTCTTTAAAAAAAATCATTAAAATAGACTTTTACAGCAGCAACAATAGACAACACTGAAAAATAAGAACGATGCAACAACCTGGGCCAGTTTTCCACTCATGTTTTTACAGTTAAGCGAAGAAGTTAAACTCAGAGTTCCAGCTGAGCATCAATGGTCCCCATTTATGGGCTGGAAAACCAATAAAGGCAGTCTATTTCTGTTAAAACATAAATTCATTCTTACCTAGTTGGTGTCTTCTTGTCCTCTTCAGATATCAAAAACCAGACAAAATCAGCATAGCTAATCTTCCCATCTTTTTGTGCTTTTCTACCTCTTGAAGGCCAATGAGGAAAAACATAGAAAATTTATTTTAAAACACCTAGCTTTTACTAACCAAAATTAAGGATTATTTTCCTCTGTGCTATTAACTGTTTATTTACTCCTAAACAATACGGTGTTCTTAAAGGTGACTTGTCACAGACTACTTTGATCATTCAGGATAAACAGCTTGTGTGGTCTGTTCTGTTTCTACTGCAGTAGGCAAAGAGGTAGGGAGCAGCTATAGGAGGAAGGTAGCACTCTGTTCAGAAGGACTTACAGCTTTCCTTCCTGGGTGGCAATAGCACTGCTTAATTGTTAACAGAAGAGATTTTAAATTTTAAAATTAATTAAAAAAATACTATATACAAATACACATGCATTTCAGAATTTCTGTTCAGGTAGAAGTGATGAGAACTTAAAGCTGTACAGAACTCCACTAGCTAAAAGCACTGGAATGGAAATATGAAGATAAAAATGAAGTAAAAACATTCAGGAAGTAAGTGTTTGTGGCAAGAACTAATTGTCTGTTTCTACACTCATACCACAGAACACAGCATCCAAACATGTTCTGAAAACACATGGTTAGTCTACCTAGTAAAAAGTCAGGTAGGCAGTCCCTAGACATATTACATTTCATTCCTCAAATCCATTTTTTTGCTGTTTTATCCTAAGATGTCTAGAAAAATATGGTATATGTATTGTCTTGCCTAAAAAACTCACATTAAGGACTAAGCTCTAGACATATGCCTGCCAAGTGTAATTTCACTTATTTCAGCTTTTGTTATTTCTGTTTATCAGTTGCTTTCTAGCTGCAGATAATGTGCTAGCAAAATGTTTAAAAAAATGAGTAAAATGCCATAAATACAGGAGAGGAAGTCAATCAAAGTGGGAACAATGAAGAATGACTGTCAAAAATGTGAACTAACTCAACTGGAGGCGTTTTTGTAAATTTGTTGATGCAATAAGCATTGATTTTACAAGTAGTACTGAAAAGTCCAGTTCCCTTTGAAAATTTTACAGATTTGAGGGATGGAAAAACAACAGTGCCAACATTTCTTTTCTCCCTCATTCCCATCCCTGTTAAACCATACAATATCCAATGGCAAGGGTTCATATGGGTAAACAAAGGAGAGTGAACAACTTGGACTGAGCCAAAGGTTCCAAGAGTAGTCTAGTACTACTAGAGTTTAAACTACAATACTAAATCTTGAAATTCACTGTTACATTTCAAGGGCAGGGCATTTTTTTCTAGGAATGTCACACAACTTACAAGAAAATATTAAATTGGATTTAGATCAGCATACAAAATAAATACCTTGTTACTGCTCCCGAGAAGATCCGCTCTATCATCCTATTTGAAATTGCTGTGAAAAAAGGTTTAAAGTAGTGTCAATTACATACAAGTTATTTTTGCTTTGTATTGTCTAGTTGAAAAGTTTATGGGAAACCTCTCATATATACAGAACTGTGAGAAAGACAAAGTGTAGTGCTCATTAATCCGTTTGAGTCCTCTTGGAGAGGATCACTTAACATACGGTCTCCAAAGCAAAGCTAGAACAACCAGCTTTGAATTCAGACTTGATGCAGAAGTAGTAGTGTAATGAATGTAACAAAACAGGCTGATTAATAAGACAGCATTTACCAGTTCTCTGACAAGTAAATCATGTTTTCGAGTGCCATTACATTTACCTGACCTTGGTTTTGGCAAAGAGCCAAAGCAGAACTGGCGCGTTACTACATAATGAGCATACCTAACTGATTCTGACATGGGTCTATTTCTGACATGGTTCTGATCCATGCTTCTATTTTGAAACCATTTCAGGGATTTGAGAGACATGTCTTAACTGAACACTACCTCTTTAAAGGATATTCAATTTACCCTGAGTAACATCTACAAATTCTTCGAAGCAGCATATGATAATATTCTCACAGAAGAAGAATTACTTCTCATTATTCTAGCTCTGAAATTTTTTCAGCATTGTAGAAATACTGATAATTAAAGCAGGTGGGTAACCATTCAAACAGTTCATCTGTTTTATATACTTACAGTGATGCTATCACCGTATCATTCTAGTAAGGACACTAGTCCCTACTTAATATTTATCCCCAGAACTACAGGGTAGCCAGTTTGTTTCAGAAATATATGCTGATGCTGCAGCTTCCTATTTACTTTTGAAACACTGAAGTTGAGAAGGTTGAACAACAACAGCTACATACTTTAATATTTTTCTTACTATGTATAAGCATTTGATCTAGCCTAATTTTAGACCAGTGACAGTACAAAAGGAAGGAATTGATGAAACCAGACTATGTAATTTTGACATGCAAAAAATAGAAGTTCAAGACTAAAGTTGGCTTATCATATCCATTTTATGCTCTTATTTAGTCTAGTTGTCATTAAGCAGCAGCTGTTAAGCTTTAATCAATATTCATAGAATCACAGAATCATTCAGGTTGGAAAACACCTTTAAGACCATTGAGTCCAACCATTAACCTAGCACTGCCAAGTCCACCACTAAACCATGTCCCTAAGCACCACATCTACACATCTCAAATACCTCCAGGGATGGTGACTCCATCACTTCCCTGTGCAGCCTGATCCAGTGCTTGACAACATGGTTTAAAAGTTGCATGGTTTAAAGGATGTAAAAATAAATTGCCAGTGGCATGGTATCAGTTCTGCTTGCTTTCTATAGTGTACTAACTCAGTAGAGCAACCTCTCAAATGAAGGAATCTTTCCTCAGTGTCCAAAAGCGTAGTCAGACTTCATTAGGCAAGTTTTCAGAAGCAAATGGTCAGAATTGTATTTATTCTTTTTAAGGTGGGATAATACTCCACAGCTTAAGTAAGCTTTCCAGTCCTGAAGGGAATACTTTTAAGATGACAATGGACACAAAGCATCCAAAAAACCCAACAGTTCCATAAAAGCTACAAGCATATTTAAAATAGGTACAAGTGCGCAGGACTACACAATCACAGTTATTGTATATTGTGAATGCAGAAAATGTAAAGCTGCTAAATAGTATTAAAACAAGATGTACTGCAGATGAGTTAACAAAACTTTAAAATAAGCAAAGTACCTGAATATGTTTGCCTTTTTCTACTCTTTCCACACCTTGCCATAAGAGCCATGCTACTTGAATAATATCAGTAAAATGGATCCTTTCCAAGATAACAACCCAAAACCACCAAATGCACCCACTTATAATACACCAAAGACTTATATGATTTTTTTAGATCAAGCCTACACACTTACAAATTTTCTTCCTCCTCTACTACTTTGCCAAGATCAGAGTTCAAATTCAGAATGTTCCTCAAATTTGGTATTGCTAGACACAAAGCAGCATTAACAGATTACTTGTCCTGCGTTATTTCACTGAGTCAGCAGGATCAGCTGTATCAACAGACTCATGAACGCTGGCCTTGGCAGCTACACTATTCCTCAGCTGAAAGTTTACAGGTCATTTAATACATGTAAACAAAGGTGCTTCATTTGTCATACCATGATCATTGTGTCGAGCTAAATCCTTCCGATCAATATAGAGGTCATGGTCTGTATCCAGCTCCCAAAATTTGCAATAGATAACATAAAAATGTTCATATGAGAAGTAGTCCGTCAGCTGGTTAATATCAGCTTCCTCTTCCAATAATGCCACATTCTATTATCAGAAGGATAAATAGAACACATTAAAGAATTTGTAAGACATTTGTTGAATAATCCGAGTTCTCATAACCAAGTTAATATCTAACCCTATTTCAGCAGAACAATTTCTGTCTTCAGAGAGAGTGCACACCATGCAGCATGACACAGACTGAACACACAAGGTAGAAAACTAAGGTGTCCATAAAAGAATGAGGTGATCAGCCAGACTTCTTCTAATCACAGATGCATTTATACAGCTCTAGATAAAAGAAAATGACATTTAAACATATTCTAGTGTGTAAGCATTAATGCAATTGAGCCCTCACCTGTTTTTGGAAAAAAAAAAAGCTACTTATGTTACTCCCTTAAGGACTTAGCTAATACAGTTTTCAAACTGGTAGAAACATCCGTCTTGCAAAAATTTAGGTATTATGTACCTGCAGAAAGTTGCTTTTCCTGAGCTCATTACAAGTTATTTTCCCAGACCAGGACCTATTTACTGTATAAAATATTCTCTGTATAACCTGCAAGAAACAAAAAAACAAACAAAAAAAAGAAATGTGATCTTAGGTAAGCTAACTAAATACCCTCCCAAACATTAGTTAAAGATAAGTCTTAGTTCAACTGCATTACACAACTTCATCTATCCCCTATTTCTAGTCTTCTCATTACTTAGCAGGTTGGTACTTCTCTTACATGTCATATTACCAAACCATTTCTAAATCTACCTCTAAGCTCATTTTGATAAGTCTTATTTCAATGCTGCAGCACCCATTTCTCATGCAGTAAAGCTGCAGAATACTTGTATACTACCCAGAATATGTCTACTGGCAATTTCACCACCTCCCAGTCTTCCAGATCTACAGGATATCACCTAATAAACCTATTAATATATCTCATTACTTCAGAATTAGAGACCTATATTTACTATAAGAATATTTTACTTCATAAATGAAGTTACAGAAATAGAACTGGGACTGTTAAAGGATCAGAGTACAGGGGGATGCTGCTACTTCTAAAGTCTGCAAATACAGCAAATCAACATTTGACAGAAAATACTTCCTGCAGATTGAGAGAGAATAGGTTTTCCCCATTTAATTTTATTCTATTTAAAGCTATTTGAAAAAAAAAACCACACGACGCACACGTCAGTAGTATTTAAAAGAAGTACGTAATGGTTTTTAACTGAAGAACAAAATGACTAGTTCTTATGCCATGACTGATATCAGAAGCAGAAACAAATGCATTCAGCTGAGTATCCAATACTTTTGTCAGTTTTACATGTACATTATATTGATAGACTCATACATTCAGCATAATTTGCTTAGTTTCAGTTTACAAACATAAGACTTCAAAATGTTTTTTCTGATTCTTAACTGAATTCAGTATTCATCTCAATTAGTTTGACTTAAGTCAACCAGATATACACTTCCAGTCAGTCAATCACCGCTAACAAAAGCAGACAAAAAACCTAAACATATTATGAACTGTAACTGCTTTACTGGAGATCGATTGCACCTGCTAATCAGCACGACTAAATATTGCATATGTAGCATTTTATTTGCAACACAGCAGTTACTAGCTAAAAAGAAAAAAAATAAAAATCTTAGGAACCCTTTTCCCCCAAATAAAACCTCTACCAAACTAAAGACTTCATTATTTAAGTTTTTATCACTTCAGACTTTAACTACAGTAAATCAATAGCTTAAACAAACCAATCCTTTTTAAATTACAAAATAGAAGAGTAATTTATTCATAAAATTTTAACTAAAGCTTAAACTATAGCATGCAGCAAGCTCTGCAGCTCTTTCTTTGAAGAGGAACAGCTGTTTCAAAGAATCCAGAAAGGAGAATAGACTAGTCTACTTCTGAAACTTAATTAGCTCAATTTTAATTGTGAGTTTAGGGAAGGCCCATTTTTGGCTTACACTACAAAGCAGTTTTTTTCTGAAAAGGTTTTGCCTTAGCTCTGCAACTTAATCCATCTGCATGTCATTATCTCATCTGTTATACATTTAACTGGTCTAAAAATAAAACCAAAATTGAATGTTTGCTAAAGACAACTGGGAACAGACTTAAAAAACGTTTTTCTAAAGTCAGTCGAAACAGAGTATAAGCAAATTTTCAGACAATTGTCTATGCTGCAGAGTGGTTTGTCAGAAGGAAGAGGAAATGATGAAATACAGAGATTTTAATTTCAAGAATTCATAGTTCAGATACATACATAACATACTTGCAGATTAAATGTAGTATCTCATTTGTCAGGGCAAACGTCTTTAATACGTTTCAGCTTTATCCTGAACATATGTACCTAACCTTAACCTGACCAACCAACCTATACTGCAGCCTAGCAGACAGAACTGATTGCTTCCATGGTTGAACAACGCTTACAAGACACCTTCTTTACTAAAGATATGCATGTATGTGTACATACACATATATATGCATGTATATACAAACACAGCAGAAAAACGTGTCATGTAACTTTCAACTGGAAGTTAGCATGAACAGAGATTAAATCTTAACTTGCAATGCTTACAAAATCCTTTCGATAAAGCTTCATGTAGCAAGGTGAAGCTAATTGAATACAGGTATGAAATGCCTTACTTAATCTTAGAGAAAATAATGTACAATTATTAGTAATAACTTGCAGGACAGAATTTTACAAGACTGTATTGGGCAATAATTACTCCATCTGAAAGTAAGACAAGAAGGGGCACAGAGCCCTCCTGTCACTTCTTGATCTGCGGAATAGTATTCCAAATATTGTTGCTATATTCATAGTAATACTCATGTACTTTTGGGATTTTTGATTAAACAGTGATTTCTGTTGTAGACTACACTAAATTTTGTTAGTAAAGTACTGCCAGCACTAATTTATTCAATATTGCTAGACTCAGGCCTACTCAAGTAAGCTGTTCCCCAAAGAAAAGTAACTGGAAATGGCAGGACCTTTTCCTTCCTATGGTCCTTCAGGACAGACAGGAAGCTTGCACAATTTTAAGCAGAGCAGGCTTTGATACAACCCAGAATCCATTAAGAAAGAAACCAGTCACAGGCAGAACATTTCCTTCAGTCACAGCTGACAATAAAGTTCTAGGAGTTCACATAATCATTATAACAAGAAGCAAAACCTAAGGCAGCAGGACATACTTGATAGCCTGGCAGTCTCTGTAAGATGGATATAACGAATCAAAACCAAACGCTTTCAGAAAAACTTCCGCAGTTTTAGTCTGGGTCAAACTATAAGCTGGATAAGAGATTATCAACTCTGCATGTTTTTTTGTTGAAGAATATTCATTAAGCTATTTTTCACATGCACAAAGAAAATGAACCAAATGTCATTTTGAAGAATTTTAGTCTTTTAAGACTTCAAGTGGAATCAGCTGTCTAGTCCATATTTGAGAAAATTTAGTGTCACTGATTTTGCCCTTAGGTACAGAAAGAATACTTCAGTCACATAATGCTAGGAAGAGAGAAATGGAACTTTTCATGTATAAAACCTGCTTAGAAAGAAAAATCCTGAGAGAGGGAAGTGGCAGGGAGCTTCAATATTATCATTATTTTACTTAATACGAACATAATCATGTTAATATAGATCTTTCATTCAAAATTCCATTTAATTAAACCCAGAGTAAGGTCAAGATTCTAATGAGTACAGTCTATAGCCACAATCACGTTTAAGGTAACAGTCTGCTCTTCATTTAATGTTCATTAACTTATCCTACACTACTACAATTCAGTGTTTCTCTCACTAGTATTAAGTTCAGCAATTTCTTGTAAATATTAAAAAATGAAAAACTGACGCTTAAGAAATTGAGTCTTTCTTCACAAGATTTCTAGTTATGTAGAAATGAAGACTGACAGCATGCTCAACTTTTCTCAAGGGACAAAGATGCTTATACATATTGACTAATCTTAATAATTACTTAGTTAACAAGAAATAACTTTTCCAAATAAAAATCACTTACTGTGGTAATGTACCGAGAATGAAATTCAGATGCTTCTTTTAAAAATGATAGGCCAGGATGACTATTCACCACATCCTACACAAAAGGAATAGCAATAGCCCACAGCATTAGTTAGTGACTATAAAAAACAATTAGAACAGAATAGCACATCTGCTTCTTTATCCAAAACAGTTCAAACTAACTATCACAATCATGAAAGATAACTTCATTTACAACATGCTTCATGTAAATAACACTGCTGACTTTTAAAAAGTAAAAGTATCTTTTAAACAAGCCAGATAAACAAAAGCTTTCCTATATTTTAGATGGGCTGAAGATTTTGAACACTGCTGACCATTGTAGCTTGTATTCTGTGGCTGACTACGATTCAGTAAAAGCCAATTTAGGTTTTATTCATTCATTAGTAAAGGTGGTGTCTGCTGCTCATTGAGAGAAACTGCATTAGGTCTTGAATTCATACACCACTTTTCCTTTGCCCTCCAAAGGGCCTCCTTGACTTAAGTAAATTCAACTGCCTTTCTAAACCTTTCTAAATGATACATGTGTAAATCCTACAACAATTTTAAATCCATGCATCTTACTGAAGCTCTTAAAGACCTCATCTTATTCAAAATGATTAACTGTAAAAGAAGTCACTCACTAGCACCTCAGTGGACCATACAAAGTGAGTTACACTAAATGTTATCAATCAACTTTAATGAAGACCATGGAAAAGTATATTTAACTCAAACTCAGAGCTTTGCCAGCTCAATTTTGTTGTGTTTCCAGAACTCATTTCAGCTGTTATTTACTTGTAAAAAAGGAATGAAGTCTTCTTGCACCAAGTAGTTGCATCCAGGGTTCATTAAAAGATGAACAAACTTTGCAGCATCATCATAGCAGGTCTGAAGTATTCTAAAATGTAAAATATCCATTTAATACTCTACAGAGAAAATTGGTCATGCTACCTTGTACAGGCATCTTAGAGCAATGCTTATGGAACTGCAACCAGAACGCTTAATTCAAAAGCTAATTACAAATGTCAAAGTACATTCCAAGTGAACTTATCAAAGCAGTACTGTCTCATAAATTTATGTTAAAGGAGGTAGGCAGACCATGTAATTGATTACAGAAAAGGACATTTTAAAGTTAGAACTAGAAGGAGAACTAGACAGAAAAAGCATTTTGTCCAAAACTGGCATCTACAAGTTAAGGCCATGGTTTTCACTTTTCCCATAAACAGCCAGTCATTTAAAAAAAAAAAGTCTATAAACATTGTAAATACAGACTTGTTTGTTTATGTTAAAGTGATGATTTACTTACAATTTTCCTAGGTACAAGTTTGCTGTCAATGGTTGTTTATGGGAAGGTGTTTTACTCCCCTTTACAGATTGGATCTCAGTCAGAGCCTGAAATATCATGTTTCAATTAAAAAACGTAGTAATTTTAAAAAAGTAATCTACTTACTTCCGCCACATTGCAACAAATTTATGAACTGACACATATCCTGTTCGTTCACCTCCAGCACAATAAAACAAAGGACCTTTCCAGTAAAGTGGGCATTCACAAGCCTAGGATTAAAGTATACATCAAGTCAGTCCACTGATTGCTTATCTGAGGGTTACTCCCTCCCTCATAAATCTTACAAAAATTAAATTTTACAAGTATTAAGAAGAAAACATTAAGGCATAGATTTTTTTTTTTAAACTGTTTCTGAAACCAACTGCACCTTTCAAAATAATTAATTTTAAGCAACTGCTTTAGGCTGAAATCTGAAAGTAGAAAGCAAAACACAGGGCAACTCGCAGCATTCCTAACAGATGCTCTGTCCACCCTCCAAGCAGTCCATGTTAACAAGCTCCACTAAAGAGCTGGATATCATTAACGTGAGCTCAAGACAGCAAACAGTTACACAGCTTCTGAACTGGAGCAAATTTACATTTGTCTGGCTCAGAGGGTGCACATCTTCTATCCAATTTTAAGTCGCAGGCCAGCCTGCCCCGAACAGCAGTATCTTGCTTCAGGATACCCAACAGTTACACCTTCACAGCTTCAATGCTCCCAACTATACAGTGCTGCTTCTGTGTCTGCTCCAAGCTTCCTCAGTCCTAACAGCTAAATACCTACCTCTGGCCTAAAACTGACTATGACCTGGAGTAGTCAGGCATGCTGGCACCTCTGAGAATTTTATGTGGATGTCTGTCAAATAAGACTGTGAATACTGCAACATGTATAAGGTCACTGGAGCAAAAGGACAGCTCCTTCTCAAGCAAGAGTTTAACCAGTACTTTAAAAAATAAGAAAAAGCAAGTTTGACAAATACTCTCCTCAGTCTGAGAGGCTTTTCCCTATGCTTCAGGAGGGTGCCTTTCACAACTGAATTGTGAACAGGGAAGGGTCTCTTCCACCTCTCCCCACTTCTACATGGAAAGGAGCTGTGGAAGGTGGGAACCTTACCATTCAGCTTAGCAGGTAAACACTTCTGGTGAGGCAAACAAGGAGTTTCTGAATGCCCAGTCCTGCTCTTGTGAAAAGTCTTTGTTTCTACTTTCTAGACCCTGGACTTTGCATTTACAATGACGGGAACAGGAATGAGAACCTGAGACTCAGGACCAAGACCATGACATGCAGTGATAATATTTCAAGGGTTGATTCAATATAACAAAATGAAAATTTAAGTTAAATTAAGTAGACTATTGTCTGTTACACAGAAGTTAAGAAATATTTTCTGCTTTCTAAGGTCAGTATTTTGTCACTCTGCCGTAACTCTAAATTAGCTACTCAATAATGACTAGAGGGATGTAATCTCAAGTTATAATTTCTGTCTTTCAATGTCTTTACAACGGAGGTTCCTGACTCTGCTGATGAGAAAAAACAGTGTGGAAGCCTGAAAACAAAACACACATTAGCAGTGCTTTTGCCTTAAGTCTGTTAGTCAATATGGAATGCAGAAAACATAAAATGTGCCCTCCAGTATTTGGTTGTTTATGCAACTAAAAAAAAGTTCAAGATTTGTTTTAGTGTTTGTTTCTTTTTGTAAGTAAAATGCAGTGCCATTTGAGACACAGCTAATGCAAAAATTTCCACACATAATTGTACTATCAACAATGCTGAATTTCATGTCTTACTGGTACTACCTTGTAGGAGATGAACACACATAATGCAATAAAACAAAGCACACCGAACTCATGTTTCCTTTCCATAGGTGTACAGTACTAAAAGCAGACAGCCAGCAAGTTCTCACCTTTGCAACCTTCCCCATGTCTTCTAACGTTGCCCTCTCATTTGGAAACTCAGAGAAAGTTCTCTCAATTTTGGCAATCACAGCATCTATATTCACTTTTTCCTTAGGACATCCTCGAGGAAAATAGAAAGTTGGAATGTTCTGACTAAGTGATGGTGGCAAACTGTCTTCCTTCTTTGTCTGAACCTAAATAGATAAATACACATTTGACAGTCAGGTACAATGAAATCACGTATAACAGTCATCCTCAGATGACTTGAATCTCTTGGTATTTTATGTTACAACACACCTTCAAAAAGATTTCTGATGATAGGCTGAATAAGCTATTTAAGAATTGGAAAAATTCATGAGTATTTCCAAAACCTGCCATTTAGAAACATTTCTAGGATGTTAAAATTTAATAAAAACAACTTCAGTCTTCAACATATCAAGTTTCAATATTAATACACTAGCCAGCTTCTTGGAGACATCTGAAATAACTCAGGTTATATTATCAGTTTCAGAAGAAAAAATGTCAACTTCTAGCTTAACAGACAGGTCATAAAAGAATTTGCTTATGAAATATTTCCATTTTTACAGGTTTGAACTTTGAAATAAGCATGACAACTTCATAACAAACCATGAACCTGTTTAATTTAGTTACAGTGAAGACAATGTGGCTGGTTTGTTTGGTTTTTTTTAATCTTAAAAAATGCTTGATTTTATAAAGGTAGTAAATGACTCCTGCAGCAGGAGTATTGTAAACTATACATAATTATGGCATGAGAGCTTAGAAAACTGTTTCTCAAGAATCTGTGATATACTGTACTACTAAAAAAAAGAAAGAAGACCAGTAACAAGAGAAATTATTTATTTAAATGCATTTAGCCTCAGTAAAAAAGAGTTTACCTTGTACTTACGTTTCCAAAAGGCCAATAAGGCAGAGAAACAAAGATAACAAGCAAAGTAACAACAGAGTTATGTGGCAACTGAAAATTAACAATTCAGCATAAAGTCTTTCATCCCAAGGCCACCGTTCAAATGTAAAAATAATGGTTAATGCTATAAGGTGGCTCATCCTAGTGTTAAATATGTTCCAGATCCTGAATTCCATCTCTCATTTCCAACCAGAATTGGGGTAAAAAAGAACCGCCCCCCCCCAAAGTAAGGTTATTTTATTTTATTTCCCCTTTTCCCCATTTACAAGATCTGCCTGGATAGCCACTCCCATGCAAGTTGCTCAAATTGGCACCAAAGCAGCAGGTGTTCCAGTTCTTCAGAGATGCCCAAGGAGGTGTGCCTCATCTGAGAAGAGTGTCAGTTATGGACTACTAACAGCCCCGAATGTTTCGGGTAACATGAGGTAAATCAGTATTTCGAGAAAACCTAGTACAGACAAGGCATTTTTAAAACCCAAAGCTAGGAAAATTCAGAGACTCAGACTAAAAACCAGTTTCTTTTGAAAGGAAAAGGTAGGGGCAGAGGGAAGACTACACTGGAAAAGGTCCCAAGAGAAGAAGAAAGGCTATCAACAGAACAATTTGTTCATTGGAAACTTTATCAGAAACTGCTTGCTTACTTCAGATACCTCAGAATACCAAATAAATTTTTCGATTAGTCCAGGTTAAAAGCTTTGTTTAAAATGCACGCAGAGATCTCAGTTCAGGATTTGTAGTAAGAGCTATTCTAGTATGTGTAATTTCCTTGGGTGTTATTTAAGACAGTTCTACAGTAAAAGGTTTTTACTTAGTTTTCATCTTTTTGTCTGTTGTAAACATGTTCCAGACCAAGATTATGAGGAAGAAATTAAGCAACGTATTCAGAACTGAAAATAGATGTATATGTGAAGAAATTTGATTTTTCTAAGATAAAAATGTTACGTTTAAGCAAGCCTGACTGAATTTGGCGTGTTTGATGTAAAATTATCTAATATGTATTCTATAAAACAGTGTATTTATTGAATTCTAAAACCAATTATAGATTACAAACATCTCACTGCCAGACAAACTAACTTCCTATATTGAAAGGTGTTGCTTATTCATAGATGCTGGTTTCTCAAAGTCGGTGAAACTATAAAAACACTTCATTTGCATTAGAAAGTGTATGACCATAATCGCTTCTGATAGATTTATTTGGTGCCTACATATAGGCCTCTAGTGACAGTATCATCTAGGGCACAACCCAAAACACCCTTGAGTATTCCACATGGTATCCAGCAGCCAGCTCCGAGCACAGTTCTTGTTCTGCATCTGCCACATGGATGCTCTGAGCACACTAATGCTTCTTAAATGCCACTAGCAACTTGCTGTTGGACAACTGAATTGTACTGTTAATGTCAGTCAACACAGGGATAAGAGCCTGTACCAAAGAAAGAACCAGGTCATCCAAAACTATCAGCTCCAACTAATGCACTATAAAGTTAGTATTAAGTATCCCCTCCCACTCCTCACCTTCCCAAGAAGGGCCAGGGATTCTTCCCTTCTCGCAGTCTGAATCCCACCTGACAACTGACAGGGTCCTTGTACAACTGGGACTGCTCTACTGCGTGCACTCTAGTGAAGGAACGTGTGATGCTAAAAGGACTCTGAAAGCTCCACTGCTTTCTACAATTTCAGCTGGTTACTTCTGCAGATGCACATACTGTAGAGCTGATGAAGAGAGTCAGTTCTGTTATTTCAGGGCAATCAAAATGCACTAACTGTGTGAGATTAAGCTGTTCTAAAATTAATTATAACTTTAACCAGGGAATTTCTGCATTAACAAGAACTGCTAGAAGTCTGCTAATACAAGATCTTTGTATGGAAGATCTGCAGCAACAGCCCATTACTCTTTTTATACAACTATTCCATTTCAGTGGTCAATTTAACATTTAGAAACTGATCCACATTTTCTTGTGGCTTTAAGTTAAAGCCCTTAATACTGGTATCAGTAAGCTAAACTGACAAAAAAGACAGGTTTGGTAAGTAAGATTTTTACTGCAAGTTGCCAAGAAACAGCATAAAAAATAACATGCTTGGAGTTAAGGATAACAGCTGTATAAACTTGTAACTCACTCATGCAAGCAGATGCATGCTGCAGTGTCAGGACTGAATGGCACATTAACTGTGCAATAAGTATACGTAAAGTCCACAATCTGTAATCTTATTACAAATTTCCACTGGAATTAAGTTTTACATAAAAGATGGGAAGTGACGATACCTTGAAAACTCCTTGTTTGTAATAATGTAAACAAACTTGTGTAAGGTTTGTCTATAAGAGAATTCAAAAGGCTTTTAATCCATAACCAGTTTTCATTCCTGACATATACAATCATAACTGTCCACAGCTATCCAACACTTATTTGCCTTGACTTTTACAGAGGAGGAAGTGGAAATTTATATCCCACAGGGGTCACCATTCAAAGGGCAAGCTTCCCATTTTATTTTGCAGCTCTGCAGATCCTCTTCCAACTGTTTTCCAGCAGTTCTTTATAATAATGGTATAAAACCATTATTATAATTACAATATAGTAATACATCAGTAAATACAAGGGAACATGGATACCCCTCATTCCAAAGACAGAAGTTCAGTCTTCTTGCTAGATAGTTTTATTTCTACCAACAGATGAGTTGCACTTGGCAGTTAACTTGATTCTAAACAACAGTGAAGACAGCGGGGATTTTAAAATGGGGTGCCTTTTTCCCCTCTCTCTCAACTGAAAGAGCTGATGCTATGATGGAGTCATTCAACAACAGAATGTATTTCTGAATTAAAAAGGAAGGGGGTGCTTGTTCACAGATATTTGAAGACTGTATACTCAAGTCAAGTCTAGATCTACATCTGCACATAGAGACTACCACCCAGAAGTACTGAACCCCAAAAAGGGGTTGAATATGTAGATTCAAATGCAAGTGAGTGAAACCTCACTTAAAAAGGACTGGCTGGAAAAGGAAACAAGGTAAATATGAATGTAATATTTTTAAACAGCTTACTGATTAAGACACAAGTTAATTGAACTGATTTGGTATTTGCATTGTTTTGACATGGCTACAGAAAAATATATTTTCATTCAGAAGTGCCAATGCTTTCTAGTATCTGACAGACACCAACATCTGTTACGCATATTTCTCTGGAAAAAAACATTTATAACATATTTACAGAGTTCGCATTCAGTTTTTGCTGTATTATTTGACATAAATTTCCATAAGGATGTCCATATTAGAAAAAACATCAATGGAATACATACAACAGGTCAAGATAGTAGGACCCCAAAAAATTCTACAACACATGTATGCCCAACTTCACATTAAGGTTTTACTAAGAAGTGGTACACCACAATCCCAAACAAAAAATGGCATTAAATACTGAAATTGCTATAAAGAGATTTTTACCTATCAAATAGGTAAAAGTTTGATTCAAATCCTTAGTAATTTTAACTAGGTAATTAAAAAAAGGAATGTTGCAATACTTTTCACATGTGCAGTGCAGAAGTTAATCTATTTCTTCAATAGACAGGGTCTTCTATTCTTATATATCAGACTTTATGCTAATGTTACCTGACTAAAACAAAGTGCATAATAAGCTAAGAGGATTTTATGCAGAGGTATGCTATGCAGCCTTTTAAATACTAACATCTCTGCAACCACCCACATACAATGTTTATAAACCATCCAACAACAAAAGCAGATACTGCATCTTGATATACAATAGAAAATGGAAGTCAACACTGAGACCCAAAGGACAACAGGGTGATGAGACCCAAATGCTGTTTAGCACATGCATTTGCAAATTCTAAGCTTATGCTACACTTTTTTTTTCACGAAAAGTCTCTCTTTTATTAAGTTCAGTAAGTTCTTACAGAATACAAGGTGTCCTACAGTCTATCAAAGTTACATTCACAATTACCATTTAATTAAAAGGTTATCCGTTAGCAGGCTCAAAAGGAGTACCTAACCAGCCTTCCCATCTCTGTTTTTATAGCTGTCAGTTTAAGTCTAACCAATGAAGTCACAGGAATATTTTTGTTTAACTTACCATCTATTTGATTGCGCAGTGAAACTCAACATTTCCCTCTACATAAGCAAAGATATGATCAGTAATTTTATGGAATTTAAATCTTGAAAACACCAGATAAAAGATTTATGCTACTATTGTCTAGAAAAGGGTTCAGTCTCATTTGGAAGGAAAAGACTTTATAAAAATGTGTTCCAAGACCTCAAATATTTCGG